TTTGTGTAAATAAGAACAGTAAATAATTGATTTAAATGAATATATTTCTAGAGTCTAAAGTGTTATAAGCCTATGTTTCAGTATGTCTTTGAAAATCTAACTTTTTCTTTCTTCGGGATTTTTTCGGAAGGCAGGTCCATTCAAATACTCGAGCTGATTTTCGAAAATAAGAGGTACCTACTTTTAAAAGTTGGACGTTTTAGTTTGAACTCTTGAACTATGGCTTTATCCTTGTTTGTTTCAAATCTAATTATTTCGGTTTCTTCAAAATGTTTACAACACACCACAGAATTTTTCGTTATTGTATAATCTCGGGTATAATTATCTTGGTGTATTGCTTTCATCCACATTTTTTGCACTTCAGAATTTTTTTGGAAATAAAAATGTTTGCATTTCTTCAGTTTTTAAGGAACTCCTAATAGTTCGATTTGCACCCAGGAACACAGTAGTTTCATGGCATCTGGAACAAGTTTAAATATTTTAGGTAATATATCGAGACCTATGCTCTTGCAGACAAATATTAATATTGTTTTTATTGTTTTATCTCACCTTACCTTCATTTTTGCTCCTGTACCCATTTGCTAAAAATTTGCAATCAAAGCACAAAGGAACAGGTATCAACTAAATATGGGCAATATATTGGTGTGTTTCTATCCACTTTTTCGTCAATAATGCCCATAAAAATACTAAATTGCAACAATACACAATGAAAGCAATACACAGAAACACATCACCCAATAACAAAATAGCACCATACGCGACGTTGCCGTCATTTCCAACTTCATGGCTTGTTAACTATAGGAGGCTGTGTCAGTAATAATCAAAATCATATTAAAAATCAAAGGGATCTAAAGTGATCTATCACTTATCTGTGAACCACCGGGGCTATGAGAAGCACACCCACTGCAGCGCTGGAAGCAATTCTGGGGCTAGTTCCCCTCAATGTTTACATTAAAATGGCAGCCATAGTCAACGCCAACCGGATGTGGGCCGCCGGGGCATGAAAAGAAACACCAGGCAACTATGGTCACATAAAAGTTATCAACTATGATGCATGATAACATATAACATAGTGGAAATGCAAAGGGATCAAATGGTGGTAACCCATAAGTTTGAAAAACCATTAAAAGTCATTTGCGATCCAAGCATATGGCAGGAAGGAGGGCCTCATATAATAAGAAAAGGCCAGGAGGGCAATTTTTGACCATTCGTAACTATAGAAAATCTACGTAATTGTGCGAAGACTACGAAATCCCATTTTTGAGTATTCGCATCTTTACGCATGCACACATTTTCATACGTTTCACTGCGAGCGGCGAGAGACTTGCCGAAGTGTTGCGTATGCGCTGACGTACCTACATTTGTGGTTATATCAGCTGTTATTATTTTGTGATACTCGCAATACGAAATATGGAAAATGGAAATAGCAGAGCAACAAAATCTACCAAACAACCAGTATAACCCTCTAGATCCATTCATAGAGCTTAACCATCAACAATTTATTGAGTTGTTTCGATTAAGAGAAGATCTTGTTTTATATTTGATCGAATGTTTGGAACAACTTCCGTCCAGCACTGCGCATTACAGACTTCATTCTATAACTTTGAGGGTCAATTTCTCAAAAGCGAGTCAACTCCGGGTTGGTTTTAACCTCAGGGTAAACGTGTCCAGTTGCAATGTTGACAGCCGGTTTCTCAATAGCAAGTCACCCCCGGGTTAAGCATAACTCCAGACATTGCAACTGAACACGTTGACTCTAGAGTTAAAACCATTCCGGAGGTGACTTGCTATTGAGAAATCAACCCTTACCCTGGAGTTATGCTTAACTTGGAGGTGACTTACTATTGAGAAACCGGCTCTAAATTTGTTTATCGCTAATTTGTTGCGGCTTCTTCTTTACATACTCCACAAGCAATTTTTTCTGCTTATCTGATGCACTAATGCATTTTCTCTCCGTTTCTTCTTGTTTTCTGACATTTCTCACACAAAAGTAAAAATTTGTCAAAAGTCGACAGTTGACACAATCTATTTTTTCCATCAGTACCTGTGATCAGTACTACAAAAATCTCTCAATTTGCAATGTTGCCTGATCAACCTGCGTAATGTTGCGAATGCCTGGCTCAGACGTCTTTCGATTTGCGCACGTCATCCAAAAATTGGCCTAATTTTTGGAAGACGTGCGCAAGTCAAAAAACGTCTGAGTTGAGCATTCGCAGCAATACGTAAGGTTGATCAGGCAACACTGCAAATTGAGAGATTTTTGTACTAATGACGGAAAAAAATAGGTTGTGTAAACTGTCGACTTTTGACAAATTTTTACTTAATGAAAAAAATGCTGTAAAACAAGAAGAAACGGGGAGCGAATGCATCAGATAAGCAGAAAAAATTGCTCGTGGGCTATGTGAAAAGGAAAACGCAATTAATTAGCGGTAAACAAACGCAAAGTTATAGAATGAAGCCTATAATTCGTAGTGCCGAGTGCCGGAGGATGTAAGGTTCCCAAACATTCGATCAAATGTAAAACAAGATCTTTTGTTAATCGAAACAACTTAATAAATTATCGATGGTTAAGCTCTATGAAGGGATCTCGATGGTTATGTTAGTTGTTTGGTCGATTTTCTTGCTCTGCAATTTCTATATTGCGTATTAATAATAATAATAATAATAATAATAATAATAAATAGCTATATTTCAAATTATGTTTACATGGAACATGGACACAAAGTGAAACGGCGTCACAAAACAAATGCTGCTTCAATTTTACAACGAACATATTTATTAGTTCTTCCATTTTCAATGGTTTATATTCATCACGACAAGAAACCACGAGTGCCACAAAGTTTGCACACAAATACTGAACAAATAGACAGACGAAATAAAATAATAAACGTCGATATAACCACAAATGTAGGTACGTCGGCGCATACGCAACACATCGGCGAGTCTCTCGCCGCTCGCAGAAAAACATATAAAAATGTGCGCATACGCAAAGGTGCGAATACTCAGAAATGGGATTTCATAATCTTCGTACATTTACGTAGACTTTCTATAGTTACGAATGGTCAAAAATTGGCTCCCTGGTCTGATATACAGACGGCTCGAAAACAGCGGATGGAGCTGGCGCTGGCATATATGGAGATCAGAACAAAGCATTCCTCTGCGGCAAAATGCTACGGTTTACCAGGCAGAAATTCATGCAAATCAAGCCTGCTCACAGGAGATTCTAAGGCTTGGTTGTAATAACCAGAACATCAGTATTCTCTCAGACAGTCAGGCAGCTCTAAAAGCTCTGAAATCATATCGATTTATTTCGAAAATATTTATGGAATAATGCCTACACGACCTAGAAGTTCTGTAGTCAAGGAATAACAGGATAAAGCTCCTGTGGGTTCCTGGGCACTCGGGGATGGAAGGCAACGAAAAGACTGACGAACTGGCCATAGCGGGCGCAACTGCACCCTACACAGGACCAGAACCCGCATTTGGGATATCGAAGCAGGTTATAAAGACGGCAGTTGAAAGGTGGCGACCCATCAACACCTCGACTTTTGGCGGTCCACACCTGGAGCAAGACACTCGAGGAGGATAATCGGAAAGTTCTCAAAGATGCAAACAGCTGAAGTACCATCACTAACGCGTGCTCAGATAAGACAGGTGGTATAGGACTACTAACAGGACACTGCAACCTTAAAGCACATATGCATAAAATGAGAGTCTTCAATGGCCCAACAACATGCAGACTGTGTGGCGAAGAGGAGGAAACCGCCTTACACATAATATGCGACTTTGAAGCACTGGCTCGCAGAAGACACAATCCATTGAGAGAACATGAGAAATTTGCCAGCAACCAACCAACATAAGAGCTGCTGTAGAGCGACTTCTTTTGTGCAAAGTGTCTTTTCTATATCTGTTACCAGACAATATGAAATTAGAATTACTGATGTCCAGCATGTAAATCGGCTTAGTTTCAGTTCGAGATATGGCACAGTTCATCACTAGTTCGGTGATGTTACTCCTATGAAAGACAACCTAACAAAACTGTAACACCGGGACGGATCCAGTTATACCTACACTTTCACGCCAATAGTCCTATTCTAATTTATTTGCAACTTTTCTATGTTACATAGAAAGATAGAGCTGTCTTCTACTTTGATTTAAGGGTCGAAAACGCCATTTTCTTAAGAGGTAATCGCACACAGTATGTATTGTCTGTCGTCTTTAATCTGTCACTTGCCATAAGTGGATCATGGCAAGATACAATGGAATTGTTTGGCAAATGGCAAAGAATCAATTTGGCTCTGAAACCAAGAAAATTTATGACTGAAAATTGGGAAGAAGTCCTAAATGGTAATTTCTGTGGAGTTCTACTGATTCTACACAGCAACACAGCACAAAGGAATGTTTGGCTCACTAAAGCACTAATAAGCTCCTCGAGGTGATACTTAGTTTATCAGATGCATCTCTAGGGTTTGAATAAAATTCTTCCACTTCTGAAGACTCCTAGGGAACTCCACACTCTCAACTTCTGCCTCTAGAAACCATCCATTAGCCTAGAGCATCTTTCAGAGCCTCTCTATGAAAACATGTCTACGAGAAGGCTGACTTGTAAATGTTAGTTAGGAAATTTCCAGGCACAAGATAATTTGTAGAAAAAACCTGACAGAAACCCTGTCTACAATAATATACAAAAGTGATTTTGTCAACTCACTGGCTTATCAAGGTTTATTAATTTTTTGTCTCGGCGCTATTGCGAACCAAAAAACGATTGCACCAGAAAATTTATTTATGATTCATTGAAATCATTGTGAAATCAAAGACTTGTGGATTTTCCAATTCGGCCAATTTTCATAAAAACGTAATTTATGAATACTTCTACTTAAATAATTAGGCATCATATGATCTGGATTTATCGTAACTTTCGAGTCAATTCCCCGGACACTGTTAACTTAAATCTATAACACAATATACAATATATTAATATTAAATTAAAGACAAATCCAACAGTACTGAATTTATTTAACGGTAACGCCATAAAAGACCGTTTATGTTAGCTACACGGACCTATAATCTTTCAACAATAATTTATGTAAGTACACACTCAATAAATTAGAGTACATACATATAAACTTTGTAAATGAAATATAAATATATTTACTTATATGTATTGCAATATTAGAACTAAAATACAATCTTATAAAATAACAGAAGCACTGCGACAACAAAACTAATAGTTTAAAATAGTACCAACTACTTTTCCACAGTGCATCAAGCAAAGACACATAAAAAAGATGAAAAATTGTATATCATTTTTTCCAAAGTCAAACATAGTGGAAGACGATGCAAAGCGTCTCATGAAAACCATCTGAGCATCAAGTTCCATTCAGAAAATATTATTTCAAAAATCTCTTCATCTGCTTATTTTGAGACTCCATGCTACCATGGGCCTGATCAAACTTGTCAATCAAATTATCAATTGTCGTTGGATCAAAACTGATCTTTTGCCCGCTTGATTTTTGAGGTTGATTACTTCCAAGATTTTCAACAGGATCTTCTTGGGACGCCATTTGATGCTGTGAACATTCGTTCACTTGTGGATTATTGCTGCTGTTAGGGTTAGGGCGTCCGATTTTCGATTTGAGGAAATTTGAGAGAGGTGCCTGAAATTGATTTATTTTCTCAGTTAGCTGAACGAAACCATCATCGGCATCATCTACTTATATCGGGTCTTCAAAAAAAAAAACCAATCAAAGATTGCTATGGTTTTTTAAACGTATGTCTTAGCAATATTTGTCTTTAATTTTGTCAATGAAATTTAATGTCAAAATGTCTTGTCAAAAATCCTGACGAATACAGAAACAGTAATGCGACGTACGTTTTCGTAGTCAAAGCAATCTTCGATTGGTTTTTTTTTTTGAAGACCCGATATAATACAGTTGTCAAATTATTAACATTCTCATTAAGTAATAATACTTACTGCAAAAGAATTTATTTTCTTCTGTGTCGATTTTAAAATATTATTCAGCTCGTTAAGCTTTCCACCAACTTGATGATATTCTTCTTCTTGTGACTGTGCTTCCTAGAACACCGTTTTTTAAAAAATTTAGTCTACTCTTCAATTGAATAGAGTGAAAAACTTAATACGTAGCTATTAAATTGGAGATTGTTTGCACTTACCCTCATTATTTCAGTGTCCAGAGCCTCTTGCTCAGCGGCGTCTCTTTCAGCCTTATTTTTTACGAACTCTTCATAATCTGGTTTATCTATGCCCAATAGTTCTGCTCTCATACACTCATATTCATAAGTTCCTTCTACAGCCATTCTTATTTAATATTCCACACTTTTATCTACCTAGTTGCCTAATCTAGGTTAGAAGAGAGCATTATTTTTTTATAGATGTCTATGCTTTAACTGAAATAGGATCAATCGAGTAATTAATAATGAAAAAGTTAAGTAACAAGGAAAATCTTATTGTTGAATAGAATAACACAGAAAAGAGAATTTGAGGATAACTAAATAATTGTCTGTGGAGAAAAAATTACCTTTGTTACGCAGATTCCAGATATCAATTTCAATTCAGTTTTTGGATCCATATAATGGTAAAAGCTGTTTCATATTGATTTTCCAGTTTTCGGCATGACGCTGCAATTCGGTTAGGATAAAAGATAATAGATGGCAGGTATTTTCTGGAGTCAGTGTGGCGAGTTTTCAAGGGTCGACAAAGTTTTATTTGAGTTCATATTATGGATCTTATTTTTCACAGTTGGACTGTTAACTTAACAAAAAAGAAAAAGAGAGTTTATTCATAAGAGACATCGATGCTTTGATCAATAAAGAAGAGATTGAAGAGGCCCTAAGAGACTACATAAAGGACCTGGGAGAAAAAGAATACAAACTCAGCGAACTAAGACCCCAGCAGCAGGGAATACACAGACAGCTAAAACATCAATACAAAAAGACGAGGCGGAAGCGCTAATGAAACTAAGGACGATTAAAATAAAGCTAGTTAGATATAGACTGGAGCGAAGGTTCAGGATATTGAGATGTTACAGATGCTGGGAATACAAACATAGTTAACAGGAATGCGAAGAAATCGATAGAACAGAAATGTGTTTTAATAATGGAGAAATGAATCATACGGTGAAGAAGTGCATAGGACAAGCCTTTTGCCCTCTATGCCAAACGAAGGGACACCGAGCTGGAACAGCGAGAGGTAAATTTTTTAGGAGACTATTGACCTAGCAAGAAGAGGGAACGATAGACAGAGAGAGGAGAGAGGCACCCAATCATAAAATTCAAAGATAAAAAAAATCAAGATCATATAGATAAACCTCAACAGAGAACAGAGCAAGAAATGCACACGATCTGCTGATTAAAAAAATTGAAGAAGAAGAAATCGGGAGCCGAATCGAATAAGAACAGAGCAAAAAATCTATTTTATTGTGATGAGAAGCTTGACTGTTTTATACATGTGGAAGGAAATATACCGGTACTAAGGAGTACAAAAGGGAAAGGATATGAGGGTGAGGAGCTACCAAGCTGTGTCGTGTTATTTCTCGCCCAACGGTCAGATCGAACACTTTGGAGAACTATTACAAAAAATAGAAACGGAAATCAGAAGAAATAACAAGAAAATGGTCGTGGGTGGAGACCTGAATGCTAGAACACTAATAGGACCCCGACAGGAAAATCAGAGGGGCAAAATGTTGGAAGACTTCATAATGGCAAACTATCTCGTAGTATTGAACGAGGGAAACAGACCAAACTAATGCAAATGGTACGCCCATAATAGACTTCTCCATGGTGGCAGAACAACTTGCACAAAATGTAGAAAATTGGAAAGTGGAGGACGAAAACGAAAACTATAGTGATCACAATGACATCAGATTCGGAATAAATATTGAAACGGAAAAAACGAATGAACATGATAGACCGGCAAAACAGGGATGGCAAATAACAAAGAAAAACCTAAATATCTTTTCACAAAACTGCAAGGTGAAACAAGACACTGAAGTTGACCCCCAAGGAAATGATAGAGGATATATCAAAGAAATGCGACAAGTACTTGGGGAAGAAGAGGAAAGAGCATGGTAAAAGAATACCGGTGTACTAGTGGAATGAAAAAATAACAAACTGCAGAACGACATGTATTGGTTCCAGAAGGAATATTACAAGAGCTATTCAACAACACAGATAGGCCAAAACTAAACTAAAGAAACAAATTAGAAAGGCTTAAGTGGAGAAATGGGTCGCATGGGTGCATTTGCACCCCCCTGTCAGAAATACATTGAAAACATTATTTTTATTTTATTATTATTATTTTTAAATAGTTACTGCTTGAAAAAATTGGCGAAACGCGAAACGATAGCCCCCTCGCACTCTCTGTTCCCCGCGACATTCCTCGGCTCACTTCCAACTCGGATCGGGTTATTTTATTTTTATTTCGCGCGCCATCAACCTGTAGAACGGCGGGAATTTCGAATTTACTCAAATTCTAGTTTATTGATATAAATTTCTCTAACTTCTACGATTTGATAGTCCGAAAAAAGTATTAAATTGCGAGAAGTCCGTGCCCAGGGGCGGACATATCACCGGGCAGTTAGGTGCGCCGCCCAGAGGCCCACGGTCCAAAAAAGCCTCACGATGCTGCGGAAAGTTTCGAATATGTAGAAAAAAATGTCATTCATGCAGAACAAATGTAATAACATTTTAATTAGCTTCATTCAATAAGGACTCAATTCCTATCTTCTAAAATATCATATTACCATATCGCCCATGCCTAACAATAGTCGTTTCTGTGGTTGAGAGCATCTGGCAACGCTGAGCGTGCACCACTATTTCCAGGCCGCATTTTTATTTTCCTACTTTTTACGTGACACTCAAGGGCAGTGGCGCACCCAGGGAGGGGCATCGGTCCAGGGCCCCCCCTCTCACATAACAGTGAAAGAACATTCATGTTCTCAGAATATTCCCTCAAAATGCTTTTTGGAATGATCTTTTAGGAATGTTTAATGAATATTCTAAGAATGTTTCGATTGAAATATTCATTCTATTCTATTTATATACTAGGAATGTTGCTTCTATGCACCTACCTGAAAGATTGTGCTAAGAACCTACTTTATATAACATTATTTGAATATTATCATACGAACATTATTAAAATGTACCCTAAAAAATGTTCTTTCGGCTAATATCTCTATCAAGTATTAAGAATATACCTACCAAGTTGTGCTGAGAAGTTTATGTAGGTAGGTAACCATGATAAGAATATTTTCATATTGTTCACCTAATTATCTAAAGTACCTACTCAAAAATTCGAATTGAATAATTAAACAATAATGCTCTATCTAGAACCTACTAAGAATATTATAGGTATATTCTTTTTCTTTTGCTTTGTAGAACTCCCAAGAGAGGGAGCCACGCGCTATTAAAGATCTACATCTTGCCTCGCGTTTGAATCACCTTGGAACCTGTTTCTCTCAGTTGGCGTGCTTTGACGAGAGCATAATAACAAGCTCGAAACCGGACCTTTGGTTAAATACTTGTGTTTTCCAAGGAAGTTTTCCAACAAATTAAAAGGGCTGAAAGGAGCATTATTTGGAAGCGATAATTGACATTCCAAATATATCTTTAGAATCAAACAAGAATGTTATGTCTAGGATGCATATTGAGAATGATATGTGTAGATATATTCTAACAATATTTCAAGCATATTGGTATAATATTCTTTTGAGAACATAACTATAAATGTCATAGAAACATTCATTGAATGTGAGAATATACATTTCGAGCATATTTTAAGAATCAAACAGGAATATTCGTTTCAGGATGTACTGAGAATCTCATAGGTATATTCTAGGAATATCCTAATGGATTTCCCAGGAAGTTCTTGGGTATTGCAAACAGTATTTCTACAATCTTTTCTCAGAACATTCTCAGGACATTCGCAATGGTTTTGGCGAACATTCTAGGCACATTCCTCCTAAAAAAAGAATACATTCTTAATACATTCCAAGGATGCAATTTTGTTATGTGTGCTAGGCCGCCCGTCCAAAACTGTATTTTTACGTACAAAAAAATTTGACATCATGGCGTGGCACCCTGACACGTCAATTTTTTATTTAGATTTTTAGACACAAGCCACAACCTTTGTAGGGTTCCCCTATTCCCCAAACATATTTTCTGGGTACGCCACTGCTCAAGGGATAAATTGGGCCTAGGGGCCCCCAAATATGTTTGGTCCTGAGGCAGAGCTGTCAGTACTTCAAGTAAATTACTTGGAAAATGTATTTCAATTACTTTTTAGTATTTGAAGTACCCTAATTCAAATACTTTTGTTTCTGAATATTTGTACTTGATTCTGCAAGTACTTTAAATAAAGTATTTGTATTTGGTACTTGGATTTACAAAAAAAGTAATTCAAATACTGGACATTTGTACTCAAAATACTTTAAAATATTTCAAATACCCCAGAAAATAGAAAGTATTTGAAATACCCCAGAAAGTAATTCAAATACTTGAAATTAACATGTCCTACCAGCAGATATGACTGAAGATTTTTTTGAACTGGATGGTTCCCACTCCCCAGAGAGTCTTTAAAATAACAATAAAAGAAAAGTCGAACTGGAAATTCTCTTCAATATGCAGAGGATACCAGTATAGATATAAAATCCTTGGATAGGTTTCCTGTCATAAAAGAAATTTTCCATAGGTACAATACGTATCTTCCGTCATCAGCCCCCCTGTAGAAAGACAATAGTTTTGCGGAAATAGTGAACACACCTCGAAGGCATAACAATCCCACTGCACTTTATTTCTTAATCAACCTTTTCTAGATAAATCTGCAACTGGAATCTTGGAATCTGGAATCTCTGTAGTACTTTTTAGAGGTATTACAATATACAGGGTGTGCCTAAATATCATGTACAGACGGAAGGGGTTGATTCTTTGGCTTATTTTATGACTAAAATTTCTGATAAACATAGGTCCGCAAACGCTTGGTTACCGATCTACAGGGTGCTGAAATTTCAATATTTTTTTAGTTTTTTCTTTATAGCTCCTGCAATTTTTGAGGGATTTAGCTCAAATTTGCAATATAAGTTACGCAATAGGACCTAAATGATTGCATGTGTCGAACGTTTGCTAGAATTTATAGGGTGATGTTTTTTTAGGGGTGATGCCCCTTCTTCTGCCCCTGAACTTTTTCGCGGTGCGTCGCTGGTCGATTCTGAGAAACAAAATAATTCTTCTACCTTATTTAGAAACTTTTTGTTCTCTTGTAGTTTTTTTGTATCACCGACCCTCATCGAAAAAAAAATTAAAATACCAATCTCTGTAATTTGCTAGATGAAACTACAGTGACTCAATAAACCTTTTCTACCTACAGTGACGACAATAGAGGTCCCGCCGCCATATTTTAACACATATTCAATAGGAATCTAGAATTAAGCTACACGCCTTCGCCGCTATATTCTTTATTCTTGCACAATAAAATTTGAACACCCTGTAGAGCGGTAACGAAGCGTTTGCGGACCTATGTTGATTAGAAATTTTAGTCATAAAATAAACTCAAGAATCATTCTTCCGTTTGCACATGATGTTTAGGAACACCCTGTATATTTTCAGCTTTCAATAGTTTTTAAAAAAATAATTGAATAAGCCCCACTGAAAAGGAATTCCTTTTCAGTGGGTACTTTAAGTACTTTTTAATATTTCAAATACATATAGGTATTTCAAATATTTAATTAAGTACTTGAAATCTTGAAATACTTACAGAGTATTTGAATTATTTTACTTGAAAAAATCAAGTACTAAATTAAAGTACTTGAAGTCCTTTTTGAATTGAAA